ATATTGTTAGTACTGCCTTGGGCCTCTAGAAAGGTCCCTTGGGATTGGGAGCTCTCAGATGCCCCCACTCATGGCTGTGATGTCGAAACTAGAAGTGGGGTGAGCAATGAGGGGCATAGGACGTTCCTTGGAGGCAGAATAGTGACTCCTTTCTCTCTTCTGTTTCTTACAGACTCCAGAGAAGGAGGCTGGCTACAGTGAGTGTTTCCTTGGGGTAGCTTTTGCCTGGGGTGTGTTAAGGGTGTAGTCCTATTCTTGTTCACTGTCCTGCCAGGAGCCGAGGGCTGTTTTTGATTTTAAGAAGGAAAAGGTACCCTCTGCCTTGTTTTGTCCTGAATGTGTGGACTCATTTGGATTTTTGAAAGGAGCCTCCCCTTCAACCCTACCCAGCCCCCACGCTATCCATCTACCTCTGCCCATCTACTCTAATGGAGTTGGCGACTTCTTTGAGCCTCCTTTCTTTTTATCCCCCATTCGCATGCATTTCTTAAATGAATCTGGAACGCTCTCCATTTCCGGTTCCTGAGCTAAGGATCTCACTCTCCAAGATGAAAACTAAGACCGGGGGTGTAAGCGGCTGCCTTGGATGAGCGAGCTGCTCCTGCTTAGTGGTGGGATCAGAAGCAAGCTCACTCACCAGCTCTCGAATCTTTGCTCACGATGACGGCAGCTCCCCCAGCCTGTGTGTGCCGTTGCTCGTTAGAGTCGAGTCAATAGTATGACAAATCATCATGGGTCTTAAAATGTACCCCTCCCTCCCACTCCCACTGCACCAGGGTGGGCTCCACAGGCTGTGGGACACTTTCCCATGGATGCTTGCTCAAAGGCAGCATTGCTGTACACCAAGCCTTGGAGTCCTCTACACTCGCTGCAGTCATGTGTCCTTGCCTTGACCTTTTCTTTCTATGCCATGAGCAGGTCTTGGCCCTGGCTATTGGGAAGGCATGAAGACCATAATCCTTGGTCTTGGGGTCTCCTGGGGTCTCCTGAGGGTAAAGATGGGGCATTGGCTTGATTATAGGGAGGTAGAACGAGAAAGCCCAGGTACCGAGAGCGTCACTACTCCCTTTCCTTCCTATTGTAGCGGAGTTCACAGGGCCCCCACAGAAGCCACCACGGCTCGGCGCACAGGTATGTATTGGGTTACAACTGCCCAAAACTGAAATTCTCAGTGTCCCTTGGAGATAATCCAGTCCAGTATCATAATTATAGAGATGAGTGTCAGAGAGCAGATGAATCTTGCCTATGGTTTCACAGCTAATTCACAACAAAATGGGAGAAGAGCCAGGTTTGTTGTTGCGTTGTTGTTGTTTTTAATCTCCTAGATCTCTTCCCTTACTGGGGGAAAGGTCTGATTTGTTCAGCCTAGGATCAGGAGGTGTGGGCCTCTTCTCTTCCTGAGCCTTCCCCTAGATTCCAGCATCCTAATGTCTACTGGTTCCCTTGATTCCAGAATGTGTATAACGTTAAGACAATGTAGACCCCAAAACCCGATGATGTTCAGATTGAGCTAGTGTGATACTGGGTGCTTTATTAACACACCAACATTTTTGCTTGGGTCCCCCAATGGGAGGACTGTGACCCCAGAGACAGAAGGGGAGCCTCTACCCCTGGGACAGAGTGCTCTTGTTGCAAAGCAGAGGCCTTCTCCCTGGTTGATATCTGTGCATTCCCAGGAATGAATTACAGTGATAGAGGGGTCCTCCTGGCTCCCCGTGATCCACCTGTCTCTTTCAGTCCATTCAGCCCACAGCCAACCTGGACAGGACCGATGACGCTGTGTACCACAATGTCATGACTCTGGTGGAGGCCGTGCTGGAACTCAAGAACAGGCTCAGCCAGCTGCCCCCTGAGGACTATGTCGTGGTAGTGAAGGTGACTGACAGGGCGGAAGCAGATCAGGGCAGTAGGGGCTGCCCACCCGGAGCCTGGAAGGAAAACTACCATGCTCTTCGCATTGGCCAGCCCGGTAGACCCCAAGGGAACAAGGGAACCCTACAAGTCTAATCCCAGGTGGTCTCAGAGGGCAGACGCCTTCCTAAAGTGCAACTTCAGGGGGAGCAGCTTTTTCCAAAAGCAAGTGGAACAGCTGTCCCACTCTTGTTCTCTTAGAATGTGGGGCTGAATCTGAGGAAGCTCATCGGCAGTGTGGATGACCTGCTGCCCTCCTTGCCGTCCTCTTCTAGGACAGAGGTGAGTGTCCTCATTCTCTCAGACTGGCCTGCTGTACCTCCTCCTGTCTCTGGCTGTAATTCCCATCAGAGGCTCACTGGGGCCACGTGGGCAGCCTTAACTCTCCCAACAGATGTCTGTGCAGAACATCGGGACAGTTAGCACTGAGCCTGCTCTGGGACCTAGTAAAAATCCCAGTCCAGGTCTCATATAGTCTTGATGGGTACATGCAAGGAGGAGAACATTTTCCTTCCACATCCTCTACCTAGTAACCTTCTGCACTTAGGTTAAGGCAGATGTCTCACTGAGATAGCAAACTATTGCTGAGGTCCAGGGGGCGTCCTGCTGTTCTGACGGAATGATGCGGAAGGATGTCCCCAAAAGATGTGACCCCCACACAGGGTAACCTTACACTGCAAAAGGAACTTTATTGAGCTGATAAAGGTAAGGGTCCCAAGCAGGAGAGGATACAGTGGAGTGTCCAGGAGTCCAGGCTCAGATTCAGGGAATGTGAGGACAGCAGCTGACCTCAGAGGGATGCCTCTGCTGGAAGGGGCCACCAGGTAAGAAAGGCGTAACCTCAGAGCTGGAGAAAGCAAGGGTCAGACTCCCCTCCCTGGACTCTCTAACAGGAGCACAGCTCTGGATGACCTTAGGCCCCTCCCCCAGAATTCCAACCTCCAGGACTGTTGGTGAAAAGTTTGCACCCCTATGTGCCTGTGGGAAACAGACCTGTTTCTTGTCTGGAAAATGCAGTGTGTTGATGCCTTGCCTTCCAGTGGTCATCTGTGTGGCCCGTCCTGTCACGTGACCTCCACCATCTCTGGTTGCCCAAGGCAAAACAGAACAAGGGCAGGGCTGCCTCCCCTCTAGGTGACAATGACCTGCTAAGGAATCCCAGCTGGTCTGGTGCCAACAAGAGAACTGAGATTCTGTGAGAACCTGGGCAGCTCATTGGGTGGATTTCCCAGTGCAGGTCAACGGGAATGTTTGGCACAACCCATTTATTTACCCATTCCTTTCATTGGACAGAGAGCTTTCATGCGATGCATTTATCATGCTAAGCACTAGCGATGCAATGGCTAAATAAATATGGGATCCGACCTCTGTAGACGAAAGCATAGGTGTGTTAGTTATTTTCTCATTGCTGTGGCAAAATACTCCAGGAAAATGCCCACAGAAAGGAAAGAGTTATTTTGGCTCTGTAGTTTGAAGGTATAGTCCACTGTGGCGGGGAAGAAACACTGGAAGGAATGTGTGGTGACTGCTCACTTTGCGTCTGGAGCCAGGAAGTGGAGGAATGATGAATGCTGGCGCTCGGCTCACTTTCTCAGATTTATTCATCCCAAGGCCTCAGCCTGTGGAAAGCCATCACTTTTAGGGTGTGCCTTCCCGCCTCCATTAACCCTAACTGGAGACTCCCTCACAGACATGCCCAGTGTCATCAGTGTGGCAATCAAGATGATCCATCAAAGTAGGTCAATGTGTTTGACCCCTGTGACCATCTCACATGCAGAGATTGCCGCTGTGAAGGAGGGTGCTAGCCTGTTCAGGCAGGCTTGGACTGCACCTGCTTGACTAGGGTCTGGGAGGACTCCAGCCCATGCAGAGGCGAGGACTAAGCCCTGGCTTGGAGCGATTTGCCCCCAGGGAACCTCTGGTGTCTTAGGCAATACCCTTTCTGAGCCACCCCTCACTTGACCTCTCTGTATGCTTGCCCACCAGATCGAGGGGACCCAGAAACTGCTCAACAAAGACCTGGCAGAGCTCATCAACAAGATGAGGTTGGCTCAGCAGAACGCTGTGACATCCCTGAGTGAAGACTGCAAGAGGCAAATGCTCACAGCATCCCACACCCTGGCTGTGGATGCCAAGAACCTGCTGGATGCCGTGGACCAAGCCAAGGTTCTGGCTAATCTGGCCCACCCGCCTGCGGAGTGACCAGAGGAAGGACCACCTGCCTGCATCTTCTGCCCCTACCTGTCATGGTGTACCTTTCCTGCCTTGTCTTTGGTTATTGGTCTTCTAGGGAAGGCTGAGAAGAGTCCCCCCCCTTCACCACTTTGCACGACTCCCCCTTCCCCAACCACCCCAGGCTGTGCTCCTCAGGCTACATTTGGACAGAGAGGACTCTGGGCACAGACACAGGGTGGGGTGACATAGTTCATAGGGGTACTGCTGCCAGCCGCTCCCTCTTACCCCAGCCTGGGTAGCTGCGGCATCATTGGAGTCATGGTTGTACCCCTACCAGCCAAAATGGCTTTCTGCATGGACATTTGAGAGCCAGTATTTCCTTCCTCTTCAGCCCTCAGGGACCCCTGATACAGAGGGGACAGGGAGGGGCTTTATTTGTAGAGAAGCCGGTAAGATGAAGGCTGGGCCTGGCTCTCTTGTACAGTGTACATTGGAATTTATTTAATGTGAGTTTGGCCTGGACGGACAGCCGTGGGCCATAGTCCAGGAACAAACCAATCTGGCCACAGGGCTCTGTGTTTTTATCAAACTGAATGCCACAGGGAAGAAGCAGAGAGTCGGAGGTCAGAATGGGACTTTGTGCCCTTCCTGCATTTCTCTTCTCCCTCTTTTCTTCTCCCCTGTTTTCTTACTCTTTTTTTTTCTTTTTTCTTTTTTCTTTTTTTTTTTTTTTTTTTTTTTTGCTCTTCTCCCTTTTCACATCTGCTCCTTTCTCATATGTTTGTGAAGAACATCCTTTTGCCTCCCTTCTTTTTGATCTGTGGTTGAATTAAAATCATTACCATTTACTTTGTGGCTAGCTTGACTGTATTGTTTATTTGATCTGCTCTTTGAGGGGGTGCAGGAAAAGTTGACCTGGAGCCGCTGCCGTGGGAGAATTGGCTCTACCCCTGTCCAGTAGAGAGCAGGAGCTGTGTGGTACTCTCCTGCCCTTTGCCCCAGGTGGGCAGTAGCAACATCTCATCTAAAAGGCAGCCTTCCAGGGAGATGCTGTGCAGTTCCCTCTGTGGAACACTTCGTCTCCTGACTCTCCCCGAACCTCCTAAGCTCTGGAGGGGACTAGATGATGCCAGAGACAGCTGAGGTGGCTGACCTAAAATCATGGCACCCTCGACAGCAGCCGTCTTAGCTTTGTTCCACGATTCTGCTCACGTGCCAGGAGGATGGGAGATGTTAATAATGCAGCAGGCAGCAGGAAATCACATCGCAGGGCTTGGAACACTGGGAGGGGGGTGCAGGCTGCATTCCCTGGAGCAAGTGGAAGCCAAGACCTGAATTGGTGACTGAGTCCAGTCTCATGAGAACTGGAAAGGGGGTGTCTGGGTAAGGCCTCTCATAAGCAAGCTCCCCTTCGGTCTGTGAAGGTGCAGTGTGTGGGGTTCAAAAGAAAAGCACCTGACAAACAAGAAACCAGAAGTTCGCCCTACTCTGCTTCCTACCTTGGACTCTATATTGGTAAGCCATCCTGAATCCCATTGCTGTTAGCTTCTGGGATCCGGCTTCTCAGAGACTGGACAATGTCCTAAGAGGCCGATCCCCTGACTTTTATGTTGCGTTGCGAAGGGTCTTGGAATATTACAAATTCAAGAACAAGTTGCACAGAACAGTTCAGAGCAGTTTAGCCACCTGATGGGATCCTGGGAAGGCTGGGGAGGAGACCTCCCTGAAGCTTTTAGGGAGTTATAGCAGTTCCGGAGCCCAAAACAACCCAGCTTGTTTCTTTCCACTACTCAGAATGAATGAATGGTACAGTGAGTGGCTGAACTCTCACCCCACATGGACTGGAGAGAATAAGAAAAGCAGAAAGCCTGCCCAGAAGGAGTACACAATTGAAAGAGCTTGAAGCAAGGAGCTCAGTTCCTATGCGAGGCATGCTGACGGAGCAGGGAATCGGGCTCAGGGCCTGTGGGTGGCAAGAGGGGTGCCAACAGTGAATATTGCCTTCTCATTTTGTCACTTGATGACTTTAAGGTGGCCGTGGAGCCTGTGAGCAATTATTGGACCTCTCTGCAGCATGGAACAGTGAGACAGGATGCTGAGGGCAACCTGGGGACTCAAAGGTGCCCTTCAGATGAATGAAGGCCCATCCGCTTATACTCAATATTGCCATTTCCCTTTCCCAAGTATCCACCAGGGCATCTCGAACAGGGGTTCTCAACCTTCCTTAACGCTGCCACCCATTAATACAGTTCCTCGCGTTGTGGTGACCCTCAACCATAAATCCATCTTGTTGCTACCTCATAGCTGTAATTTTGCCACTGTCATGACCTGTAATGTAAATGTCTGATATGCAGGATATCTGATATGTGACCCACGTGAAAGGGTCTTTGAGAACCACCGATCCAGACCTTCCTTTGTGCCCCACTCCTTCCGGAAGTGGCCTTATCCCTGATATTTCCTCACAAAGCACATGGAGACAGGTTCGGAGAAAAGTATGAACTTCTTCCTAGGCCTGGATTCAAGATACCCCAACCTGCCTCCCCAGCTTCCGCCCCCAAGTCGTCTGTCCTCTCTGATGCTCTGAATCCAACGTGTTGTTCAGAATTCTTCCACACCAGGCTTGGTCCCATGTGGCTACCTTTGGGCCTGTATTCTATTTCTCTTTGCCCTGGTCTGACTCCCCCATCCCTTTGTTTGACCTTTTTGTCACATGCAGTTCCTATTGCTCTTTCAGGAACATCTTGTTCTGCCTCATGTCCTCGTCAGGTCGTTCCCCTTCTGCAGAGCAAATGGCTTCACCTTTCCTAGCTCCTCAGCATCCCTAAATAGGTGTCATGTTGAGTGGCTTCAGCGCTGTCACAACAATGGTATCATGAGCTCTTCCAAGGAGGAGGTGAGGTCCAGGCTAGTTTGGTGGCCTCATAGAAGCACAGTAGGCAGATGGTATTGACCCCGAAAGAACATTCTAGAGATGGTTCCAGTTAGACAAGACCGGAAGTTAGTTGCCAAGGCTACCTTAGAGCCAACACGAGGGACGTGAGGTCAGATCATCCCAGCTAGGAAGGGAGGAAGGAAGAGCCCAATTGTCCCCAGGAAGCAGACGATAATGAACAGCCAGAGGAATATCCGGTCTACCACCATGGCCACATACTTCCAGTCTTCCTTCACCTGAAGTTAGAATTGGGCTTACAGTGACAAGAGCCAGGCTTTGGGAAGAGCAAATGTCCCTCCCACATCCAGCCCTGTGGAGGCAGCAGTCATCAGACTACTGGAGGCTTGGGAAGCCACAGTTATCCCACGCATGGAGATGGGCGGAGAAGCAGGGGTTAGCTCAGGGCTGATGCATCTCTGACAGTCTCACTCTCTCTTTCCCATTTCCATGTGATCCCCGTTTCAGGAATCCAGGGGGGCATGAGGAGAAGCTGAGACCACCAAGAGGGCATGGGGCCTCAAAATCAGAAAACTTGAAGCGTAGCTCACAGCAGGCATATAGCTGCCATATATACTGTGCTGTCCCATGCTACCTCCACCTACACCTGAAGAGGACAGAAAGAGGCAGGCTGTGGCCCAGAGACAGGTCAGTGTGGAAGAGCCAGGGCTTTTTTTTTTTTTTTTTCCAGCTCATAAGCCAGGGCAGAAGATTTAAATTCTTTAGACATTGTCAAATTAACCATCAATGTTCTTATCTATTCAATAAGGTCACCTCACAGTAACCTCAGGCCTCTCACTCCTCCATTGGATGCTAAGGGGATGATAAGGTTCTGGGGAGGGGAGTCCCTCCCCGGGTCCCCCTCACCCCACCCCACTCCGGCTCAGCGGAGAAACTTCGGGGTTTATGAGTGAACAGGGAAAGTCACAGAAAGCCCAGAGCCCAGGCGGAGGAGAACACAAGGTAGTGCACTGAGTTGATCACATTTGTACTTGGTTTCCATCCCTGCCAAGAGCAGCCTCTCTCTCTCTCTCTCTCTCTCTCTCTCTCTCTCTCTCTCTGCCCTGACCCCACCTTCTCACGAGAAAGGCTGGCCAGCAAAAGGCTGGCCAGAGGGAGGCCAGCATCTGAGCACCCGGGTTTCTGCTCGCTCTCCCCCACTTGGGTTGAACAGAGTGGAAGAGGCTCTGTGATAGTCTGCCCTCGGCCTGGAGGTGACCAGAGAATTAACAGCTAGTGTTCCCGTCTCATGAGTGAGTCCAGACTCCTCGGACATGACTGAGGGAGGTTGGTCCTTACAGGAGGGGAAGGGGTTACCCAAGCTGATGCCCAGGGGTGGGATTATTCCCTGCTGAAGCTAGCAAGATCACCCATGGAGGGGCCCTTCCGTCAGCCCAACTCACCGAAGAGTCGGCGTCTTCAGACCTCAGGTGGTCAGCGATGTAATGTACACCCTCTAGTGCTTTTTGTATCTGAGGAGACAGCAGGATCTCACTATCCTGGGATGGAGCCTTGGCCTCGGGCCCCAGAGCCCTCAGATGCAGGCTGCCATGGCCATAGAGGACTCCCATGGAAGAATCTGGGAGGCCTGTACACGTACATATGTTTTCCTCCTCCTCCTCCTCCTCCTCCTCCTCCTCCTCCTCCTCCTCCTCCTCCTCCTCCTCCTCCTCCTCTTCCTCCATCTCCTCCATTTCCTCAGCATCCATGTTGGTCTCCAGCCAGCGGTAAGTGGGGCTGAGCTTCAGACCCGGGGAGCCGTGGAGCGTCATAGGCGGCAGGGGTCGGTTCATCATCAGCCACCGGGGTACCCGGCCCAGCAGGGCCACCCTCACCCAGCCGGGCATGTTGTGGGTGCTGGGGGAACGGTGGTGGACGTTGAGCACGAAGACCGTGATGACAATGGAGAGGGTGACAAAGATCATGGTGAAGAGCAGGTACTCGCCGATGAGCGGGATGACCAGGGAGGTGGACGGGATGATCTCGGTGATGAGCAGCAGGAAGACGGTGAGCGAGAGCAGCACCGAGATGCACAGCGTGATCTTCTCGCCGCACTCGGAGGGCAGGTAGAACACGAGCACGGTGAGGCAGGAGATGAGCAGGCACGGGATGATGAGGTTGATGGTGTAGAAGAGCGGCAGCCGGCGGATGACGAAGTAGTAGGTGACGTCAGGGTAAATCTCGGCACAGCAGTCGTATTTCTTGCTGTTGTAGGTCCCGGTGGCATTGATGATGGCCCACTCGCCGCTCTCCCAGTAGTCCTTCAGGTCCACCGTCCGCTCCATCTGCTCCAGGTCGATCTTGGCCTTGTCGTACGTCCACGAGCCAAACTTCATCTTGCAGTTCTGCTGGTCGAAGGGGAAGAAGGTCACGTCGATGCTGCAGGAGCTCTTGTAGATGGCCGGGGGCGTCCAGTGCACGGTCCCCGTGAAGAAGAGGTGGGCCTTGGTCATGTGGGTCACCGCAAACTCCCCATCTGCGCTGGGAAAGAGGAGACAAGCTGGGGTCCCGCGGTACCTGCCTCCTCCAGGAAGCTGGCAGCAGGGCAACTGGGTAAACAAAGCCACCACTGATTGGCCAGGGAGGGCCATTCATGCAAGAGTGTGGATCTCTCCTGCAGACAGATGTATCTGAGCTGTCTTTTCAAACAGCATTGTTTTAATTGCAGAAGTAAAAATTTTACAAAAAACAAACAAAAAACACCACGTTATTACCATTTTGGTGTTATACTTACATATCTCACGACTGTAGACTGTGACTCACTTTTGCATATTCTTTTTTTTTTTTTTTCCTAGACAGGGTTTCTCTGTGTAGCCCTGTCCTGGAACTCACTGTGTAGACCAGGCTGGTCCCGAACTCACAGAGGGCTTCCTGCCTCTGCCCCCGGAGTGCTGGGATTAAAGGCGTGTGACACCACCACTCAAATTTTGCATATTTAAAAATCATGAGACTTTTATAGTCTGAGCCCCCCCACACACCTTTTTTAAAGATTTATTTCTTATGCATACTGTGCTCTGCCTGCATGTACACCTGCATGCCAGAAGAGGGCACCAGATCTCATTATAGATGTTGTGAGCCACCATGTGGTTGCTAGGAATTGAACTCAGGACCTTTGGAAGAGCAGCCAGTTCTCTGAGCCATCTCTCCAGCCCTGGTCCCCTATTTTTATCCATTTAGCATATTAATGTTTTTGTGGAGTTTGTTGTTGTCTCACTATGTAGCCCAGGCTGGCCCACAACTTCCTGGCTGAATTTGAACTTGTGAGCCTCTTGCCTCAGTATCTTCAATTCTGGGGTAACAGGTGTGCTCCACCATACCTGACTAGAGTAATGATTTTTGAGCGTTTTGACTTCTCTCACTATGCAAATGGGGAGCCAGCGGCAGAAGGGGCGGATCCTGGATTCTGCGTCCAGATCTTCTGTTCCTTTCCAGAAGACACTAACATTTTGGCTGGCGAGGAAACTCCCTGTAGTCTGTGCATTTAGCATGGTATTGGGGGCCAGTTTCATCCGCCGGGGCCTGTACCTGAGGGATGTGAGATGTGATCCCTGCCCTTGGGGAACTACATGAATTCAAGTGACACCACCATACCATAGGGCATTTGGAATGCTCCTGGAGCGGCTGAATGGGGTTAATAAGGCCTTGACCTGGGAGACAACGGCATAAAAGCAGCAGGGTTCACAGAAATAAGGGAGAGACTGGCAGGTGGGATTTGTAGAAGACCGAGTCGTTCGCCGCCCCCACCCCACCCCAGGAGGATAGTCTAGTCTTTTAAGCTCCACCCCAAATTCCCACCTTCCACCCAAACCTACAGCGATAATCTTGGTCATTTCACCTAGCTACCACTAGATGGCAACAGACTCCCATTTGGGGCAAGAGACCACGTGACCTCATTGACCCTTTGCCTACTAATCTGGAGGAGGGCGTGGGGAGCACTCGCTTTAAACGCCTGCAGCGCCCCGGATTAGCCTTTGTCCTCCCGGAAGACCTTCTGTGGCAGTCAGGTATCGGCGACCAACTCCCTATCGACCATCTTTAAACGCAAACCCGTCCGCTGCCAGGACTTCGCTCCCGATCTGTCAGGCAGAAACAGAAACTAGAGGGATCCTTAGGTGCCTGCTAAGGACACTGAGATGGGGCTTGGGGCAGGGCAAACAGCAGGTGCTTAAGGCTTATAGCAGCAGGGGGGTTGACTATGCTATGCCAAATTATGTGAACACACACACACACACACACACACACACACACACACACACCGGGGGCATTCCGTTCCTATTCCTACCTCAAGAATGTAGCACCGTGTCCCCCACTGGGCTGCTTTGGAAAGCGTGCTAGCAAGAGACACTGCCACCATCTAAGAGTTAGCATCCGGGCTTCTCGGTGAAACCTCAGCCAAGCAAAAAGGAAAGAACAGATTTCAGTTTATGAGAAACCGTGTGTGCGTGCGTGTGTGTGTGTGTGATATGAACACGTGTGGGGGGATGCCAGTGCACATATGTGCGTGTTCATGTGCCCTTCTTAGGCATGCATGACTGTTGGTGTATGTACGTGAGTGTGTGTGTGTGTGTGTGTGTGTGTGTGCGTGTGCATATATATGTATGTGCTAGTGTGCATGTGGGCATATATGTTTGTGCTAGTGTGTGCATGTGTGAACGTGGTGGTGTATACATGTGTGGGTGTGATGTTGCATGTTTGGGGGTGAATAGGCCTGAGGACGTCGTCCAGTGTCTTTCCTTAATCGTGTTCCATCTTTACTTCTTGAGAACCTGTCTCAAGAATCTTAAGTTTGTTGTCTTGGCTAAACTGACTGGCCAGTGAGCTCCTAGGATCCCCTGCCCCCAGTGCTAAAGCCTGTCTGTCTCTCACTGTCTCTCTCTCACACACACATGCAAACACACACACACACACACACACACACACACACACACACACACACACAGAGTCATACCCAGCTTTTATGCAGCTGCTGAGGATTCAAACTCAGATCTTTTTGCTTGCACAGCAAGGGCTCTTACTCATGGAGCCATCTTCCCACCCAGGGTTCGTTTTAATCAATAATTGGCTTCTTACTTGTTGTAGAGAACAATGTCTGGGATCCAGATCATCTCTGAGGGGACCCGGAGGGAAGTGATGTTGCCAAACTCATCTGGGTCCCAGCGCAGCTTGTAGTCATTCCATTCCTGCTCAGGGGAAGGGTCACATCAGGACACTGTCGCATGGGGGACCTCAAGATGGTCTGAAATGAGCTATGGGACCCAGAGGTCCCCCAAGTCCCTCCCCGCAGAATTCAAAGGGGGCTGTGATGCCAGGAAAGGGCTCAGCCATGGGAGTCAGGCAAACCATCTCTGATAACCAGCCTGCTCTGCTCTGACTTTGGTAGCCGAAATCCCAGGCTGCTAGTCCAACACACCTGTCATTCCAGTCCTTGTGTGTCATCCAGCCCTTGTTCTGACATGAATCTGTTATGCAGTCACACGTTGACAAAGCAGGGCCTGCCAGAACTAAAACTAGACAGTGAAGCCAGAAGAGTTTCCCGTGACCTTCAAACTATGCTCTGGAGACCTCCCCATCCAGGAGTCCCAGCAGGAAGAGAAAGCTCTAGGTCCCAACTACACTTCTACCAGAACAGATCCAAGTGTGTTTTAAGACCAGATTTTGTTTTCTTGTTTGTTTTGTTTAATGGGGTTGCATGTGGCCCAAGCTGGCCTCCAGCTTACGATGAAGGAAAAACAACCTTGCACTTCTCCTCCTCAGCCCCCACCTCCTAAGCTTGAGAGTTGCCTTCATGAGACACCACACCCAATTTATGCGGTGCTGGGGAAACAAACCCAGGGTTCCCAGGCAAGCAATGTACCAAACTAGGCTAAACCCTTCCCAAAACAGAGTTCTTATCCTCTCTCTAGTCCATCTTTCAGGATTTCAGGTTTAAACATTTGGGGATGCTAACATCAAATGGAGAGATCTGACTATCAGAGGCATAGGATAGCCGAGTCACCCCATACAGAAAAGGAGAATGGGACTCCCAGAGGGTTGATAACTCTCTGGCATCTCAGGCTCGTCCCAAGCAGCAATGAAAGGCCTGGCTCCACCACAGTGTTCTTCCTTCTCCTCCTACACAAGCCCTGGCACAGGTGACAAGGACAATTGTGGTGACCTAGGTTCTAGACCTCCCCAACCCCTGACATGATTATATGCCTTTCAAAACTTCCTCTTCACTCTGGTTCGATTGGTTCATCTATAGAGATGAGGGTGAGAACTTCCGCTGACTCCAGAGTGAATAGGGATTGGCTCAAAGGGACCTCTGACCCAAGTGTCTAATTTAGAAGCAGCTATCACACAGCTCGACACCATCCAGGGCCCAGTGAGTCAGGGACTGTGTATAGGACACCCACAGCGAAAAAAGGACCTATTCGAATGACTCTGATATGTCACCATCTTGGCCCTTGTGGTTTTCTGAGTGTTAGCTAGAGACAAGGTCAGTCAGGTACTCATGGGGCCAGAGTAAGAAGCTGAGGGCAGGGCTAGCTTCCCTTCCTCATGTTCTTCTGTCATCCACACTTTAAGGCCTTGGGGTTAGCTGGGCAGGAGAATGGGCAAGGTAGGATTCCAGCTCTAAGCAGCCCCTGAGTCTGCCCAACAGTGGCCCACCCGAGCTCCACACACTCTTCAGTTCTTCTTCCATGGAGAGATGGTATTGTTGTCTCTTCCTGACTCCAGATATTTTTGTCGACAGACAGAGGTTTGCCAAAGAGAAGCCATTTTAGACAGAAACAGACTAACCACAGCCGGCCAGGGTCACCATTCAAAGCACAGAAAGCCATCTGACCACCAGGTCACAAATATGCCTGTGGGCTCTGGGGTCATTTGTCAGGCAGCCCAGACTCTGAGACACATGTAGAAAGAGATGGGTCTTGGAGCTGGGCACACCTGGGTGCCGCCTCGTCCTGTGATGTCAGGGTGCTGATTTAGTAAGCTGTCCTGCAGGACCTGGAACTATGAAATGCTTGCATCTAGGAGAGGGTCCCTTGGTGTTGTGGGTGGAAACAACAGCGGGATAAGAGAATGGTCATACCAAAGCCAGCCTCAGGGAGAGCAGCCTACAGTACCTTAGGTGTGATCATGACCCATGAATTCAACATCTTGCTGCTCCTTGGTCCCTTGATAGTGAGGGTCCTAGAAGGGGCTAGAGACTGTGCATGGCTGCCAGCTCCTACCAGGGAAAGCTTACCTGCTTTAGCCAGACATTGGTTGTCATCATTTGATTCTTCTCATCCTGGAGTGGCAGAGATAGAAATTAAGAACAGTTGGGGTGACTGATGAACCAGCCCAGAAGACAGACACATCGGGGATCCATTCACAGGACACCCAAGCCCAGCCATCTCTCCTACCTTGGTCACCAGCACTTAGATTTCCCAGGGTCACCCTGGGGATCTGAGGGGGTGGCCATGGGTTTTAGAAAACTGTCTTCTGACAACCTGTGCTCTTGGGGCCTCCAAGGCTTGGGAAGGAAAGCAACCCAACAAGGCAGCTGCATGCTGTGGCCAGGGTGGGCCTTGAGGGCTGGTGGGAGAAGAGCTAAGCTGAATCCAGGGATGAACATGAGAGAAGAATCAGCTGGTCTGATGATCAATCAAGGGAACTCAGTGTGAAAGGGCAGGCCTACCACATCGATGAGCTGGGCAATGGACAATCCAAAGCGTACAATGACCACATCAGAGGTATTGGGCACTGGCCGTGCCCAGCGATTGTAGCCCCCAAACAGGTGTTTGAACAGGCGGTCCTCAGCCTGGGTGTGTGAACCTTGCTGGGACACCACTGTGGAACAGGAACGAAAAAGAAGAGTCTGCATGAGGTCAAGGAGGCGAGCCTGTGGCCTTCTTTCCACCTCCCATGAAAGCAGAGGCACTCAGCATCATATCCCCTCAGCATAGGGGTAGATAGAGAGGAAGGCCATCTCAAACCCCACTGAGAAGTCCACAGATTAAACCATATCAGCACTTAGCAAGCAGCAATCACTCTAGGTGCCTTCCTGTAAAAGGTCAGGTAGTGTGGGTTGCCACAGCCTAGCAAGAGAGCTCAGACCTAGGAACCAGTCTCAGCGAGAGCCAAAGAGCCCCAAGGGGTTGGGGGTGTGAGGGATGGGTGTGTGTGGGATGGTGGTATGGGGGATGGTTGAGAGGGGCTTTACCCACTGCTGTGAGCCTGGCAGATGGTGAGATGCAGAGTGGAAGGAGAACTTTCCTTCTACTTTTCCAGCAAGCTACTGACACCCATGAGAACATCTTCTCCCACACAGGGTACTACCCTGAGTTCTTAAATCGCCAGCTCTGACCAGTTCTCATCAGCTGGGCAAAGCTCTGCAAAACTGTCTGCTGGAATTTATCATGCCTTTTCCACTGTGTTTTGCATAATAGCTTCTCCATTCTGGGACTCTGCAGCCTTACAAAAATCCAAAATGTCCCAGCAGCCACTAGGACAGAAAGCACGGCAATAACCATAACTACTGCGTGTGAACCTGCACACTGACCCCAGCCCGTGTGCTGGGTGCCAGCCTCCTTCACCTTCACAGCAATCTTCAGTGGTCTACGATGTTGTTTGCATTTTGCCAACAAGATCACTGAAGCTTGGGACCTTTAAGATGACAAAGTTCCTGGTACTAGTGTTGAGCTAGCCACCCATCTCCATCCTGTGGTACCAGCTACCCAGCAGATGACTTTAAGTGCCCCCTGTAGCCTTGAGGATGAAGCAAGCTGGCCTTCTGGAGAGTCCACCATGTGGCCTGTGAGCGCACAGGGGGAAGATGAAGTCCTAGGGGTAGCAGTGGCATCCACTCACCTGCTGGCATCAGCAGGAGACACCGGAGACAAAGATGTATCCAGGACTGGAGAGCAGGATGGAAGGGGGCCATGGTTTCAGAGGATCCTGGTTTCTCTTGGACGGCCAGGAACTGGCTTCCACGAGGCCCCGTCTCTCCTCTGCAACTGAATAAGCCAAGGGAAGGACTCTTAGGGTCAAGAGGCGTGACATGTACTGTCTATGTCTTTCATAAAGGTTTTAAAGCTGAGCAAAAGGCCGTCAACAGGCCTGCCTGGAGTGTGGGGATTCTTGGCTGCTCTGCTTCACGAAGGAGACAGACCTCTCTTTTCTGGAGTCTCTTAATTGTTGACAAGCTAAGACATGACCGTCTTCACAGAGGAAGAAGGTACTAGCATTCTTGCCCTAGTGCCCTCGGCTCCTTATCTGTAAACTGGGGATAACCACGTGGATATGGTGGCCAGCAGAAGAATATGGCTAACCAGTGACAATGACCCAAAGATTCTGGTAATCAAATGCTCGTCAGTGATGAACAACTGGCGGAAGGTTGGCCTATCTAAACAACGGAATACAATGCAGGCATCAAAAGGGAATCAAGTGCTAACATGGCGTGTGTGACTGATGGGATGAACTTCGCAAGCTCGCTATGTGAAAGAAACCAGCCGCCTAGTGCACGAATCCGTTGGCACGTGCATTCCAGGCCTGTCAAATCTGGAAATACATTGCAGATGAGAGTGAGTGGAAGGACTGGGGGATGACTGCTAATGATCAACGGGCTGTCTGCAGGGTATGGAGAAGGTTCTAGAAAGACTTAGTGGTGATGGTTGCACAGTTCTATGAATGTAATAGAATGGACCAAACAGCACGTTTTAAATTAGGAATGAATATTTCAAAAAATTCTGTTACTTAAAAAATGTTCTTGGTGAGTGAGCTGTGGCCATCTTCTGTTGACTACGAAATGGTGAACCTGGAGCTGATGCAGGAAAGTCGTAGGGCTGAGAAGGAGAGATACTTACGATGGTTAAAGACGTCCCACACAGGAGGGAGTTGGAGGGGAGGATCCTCCTAAGCTGATGAATTATTTTACATAGTCTAGGATTCAATCCTAGACCATGACCACAGTGGTACCAAGTGTTGCCCTTCAAAGCTTACATATCCAGGGCTGACGGGATGGCTGAGTTAGTAAAGGGCTTGCCTGTAAGCACAAGGACCTGAGTTCGAGCCCCAGAATCTATCTAAAAGAGCAGGGTGTAGGGGCTTGTGCTTGTAATCCCAGCACAAGGGAAGTAGAGACAGGTGACCTCTGGGACTTTGGCCACCCAGCCAAACCTATGTATGTATCCATGTGTACCTGCACACAAAGTTCATATATCCAAACGTCCACACGGGGTACCTTGCGTCTATGAATGAGAGCTGGAATACCCGTTCTTAGCACAGACGTGGTGTTTCCTTTTGACAGTGAAGAGAATGTCCTGGGATGTTCCAGAATGTTTTTGGAATGGTGATAGGACCACACCATTCCCAAAGCCCCGAATGCCACTAACAGTTAATTTTCTGTTGTGTGTACTTAACCATGACTTCAAAAATATGTGTCAGAGTACGTTTTAAACATAGAAGCGGCCACATCCCCGCAGGAATCGGGAATCAGAATTGTTCCCGACGGAGCTGCGAAGCTGCCTTTCTCTGGTCCTTCCTCTCTAGTCCATCCTGCCCTGTCCCAGGCTGCCAGCGGAGAACCTAGCATCACCAGCCAGCTGCTGCCTCTCCTTCACACTGCCATCGCTCTGCACCGCCCTCCTCGCTGCATCCAGAGTCTGCGAGCGTGACTTTGAGTCCCGGCCATGTCGCTAACACCACTGGGAGTTCAGCTTGTCTGTGGGACAGCTGTGACCTCCTGGGACAGGTACACAGTCCAGAGGAGTCCCAGGAGTCCGTGTGTAAACTCCAGAACCCTGAGGCACTGGGCGGCAGTGTGGAGGTCAGCGCACCGTGACCCAGTGGCAGCACACAGCAGCTGTCCGAGCCGAGTAGGGAAAGAGTGAGCGGGAGAGTGCCAACAGGCTGCTGCCGTTTATGAAACAGCAGCTGCTACAATTGACGGCTCCAGGATGTGCTTAGGGGAAGGCTACCCCGGCCTCAATTTTCACAAAGTATTTCAAGTCAGGGACTCGTTAAAATTTGCAATTTTCTGCCCCTAACCCACAGCCCCACCATTACCGAGTTCAACCTGTCAGCCAGCCAGATCCTGCGTGCGCACCCCCCTCTGGGGTCTAGCCTGGGGTAGTAGTCCTCACACCATCAAGCACCACACAGAGAGCGTCCAGGCCCCACTGACACCTTTACAGCATAACGACTGCACCTCAGGCTTTGGAATCATTGCGAAAGAGTGTGCGGAGACTGCAGGAGCTAGACCAACAGGGAGTTTGCTTGTGAGGCTGTGTCTCTTAGAGAGGTCAGCAGCTACACCCACCAAGCCTCACCAACATGGCTGCCTAAATACGAGCTGAACAAGGATGATAATAGATATACATGGAAGGGAGAAACCCACGGTGCCTCCCCCGTGTGAGAAACTACAGCTGGGGATGCTGAGAGCTGGAGAAATAGTCTTGCGCAGCGGAGAGTACACCAATTAGCTATCTAGCACCAAATGGCCAGCCCTGAAACATACACACAAGTATCATTATACAGGTCGGGCAGGTTGTGTTTATGTAGTATGTACATGGGAATATATATGTGCAAATATACATACATATTATACAGATTATGCATATATATTAGACAGATTAAGCACAGAAATATATACATACATACATGCACATAAATATACACAGACTGGCATGTATGTATGTATGTATGTATGTATGTACAATTTTTAAAAAGAGGCCATGAGTTTGAAAAAGAGCAAGAGGGGAGATGAATAGGAGGGTTTGGAATGAGGAAAGAAAAAGCAGAAATGATGTGGTTCCAAAAAAAAAAAAAACCAGTTTTGTTAATCACCTGTTCCTTTGGGAGAATACCAGCCTGGCCACTGGTTACTTTTATTCCTGTGCTGTGCTGTACCCAACCAGACCTTGCCTTGCCCTGATTCTCATAGAGCTGCCTGGCTTTGTCCTGACCCCTCTCCAAATGTCCCAGGGAACAGATTTAAAAGACCAGTGATTTCCAAAAGGTGTCTGCTCTGGAAAGCTCTTCCAGAACAGCGCCCCCCCCTGAGGGGAGCAGCAGGAAGACCAGCCATGGGAAGCAAACCTCACAGATGGCACCATGCTGAGCCACCTCTGGAGTGCCCGCACCTTAGTGCTGGGCCTGCTTCCCCAACCCCAACTCCTTTACTTCCAGGGAATGTGACCAGAGCCAGCATGTTCTTTAACCTTGTCATCTTTCTTTCTCCTGTGAGCCTGCAGACACCTGCTGTCTCTGGGGGCTGGGATTAGAGGCATTTTAACTTTCTGACACTTTTTTCTATACTTTCCAAATTTCCTACCATAAGCATTAAGATTAAAACATCTGTTTAGTGTGCAGCAACACCCACTGCGTGCTTTACGTGTCCTTCTCCAGGCTCCCATATGGCTCCACTCAAAATTCACACAGCGCTTAGATTCCAGCCCGCTGTCTGAATGGATATAGACCATCAGAGTGAATTGTGTGATGGGAGGAATGACCCCAGTCCCCAAGAGACGTCATAAACGAAGCATTGCCTGTGCGGACAGTGGATATAGCTTTTAAAAGGAAGATCCGGAGCTAGTTGCTGTGGCACACGCCTTTAATCCCAGCACTCAGGAAGGCAGAAGCAGGTGGAGCTCTGTGAGTTTGAGGCCAGCCCAGTCTACAAAGCGAGTCCAGGACAGCCAAGGCTACACAGAGAAACCCTGTCTCAAAGAAAGAAAGAAAGGAAGGAAGAAAGGAAGGAAGGAAGGAAGGAAGGAAGGAAGGAAGGAAGGAAG